ACGGCGAGGATGTGAGGTTGAGGGAGAAGCAATCACAGGTTCAAGGTGAGGAGTGATCAAGGTTCATGCAAGGTTCAGGAATCAGGATTAGGGAGGGATTTAGGCGACAAGTCCGTGACTTCAAAGTTCAAGTGTGTGTTCAGTGTTCTATTGAAAAAATAATAACAAGACATAAAGGGTCGCTCGGGTTCAAGTCTTTTTTTACAAGACTTATTAGAGCTAGGCCCTCAAACCCAGTTACTTTTAAAAAAATAATTTTTAAAGTTTAAACCCTTATTTAACCAGAGCGTCAAAGCTCGATCCTCATTCTCAACTCTAATTTTACCCCTTCATCATTGTAATAGTGTCTTTTTTTAAATACTTCCTCCTATACCTTTTATGAGAAAGTTTAACCTAATTACACGAATTAAGGCATGTAATTGACCTTTAATAAAAGTTATTTGTTTCAAAAAAAATTAAAGTGACATTTCAAGAATATCTTCAATAAAAGTTAATCTCTAATCCCCAATTTTTTTCTCTTAATATAATCAACAAGAGATAGTTAAATTTTCAAGAGCATATGTAAACATCACTCATTAGTGTTCACTAAATTTTTAAATTAAGGACTAAAGATATGTTTTTTAGAAAGTCTCTTATAATAAGAAAAATATTATATTATTTTTGATTCCAAAGTATAAGTCAAGTTTAGGTGCTGGCTGGTGTATTAATTAGTTTTTTTTCTTCCCTATTCTGCCTTTGATTTCAGATGAGAATTAAATGCACTTATTAGAGATGGTGGTGGAAAAGAATGTAATTTTTTTGACAAATTAAGTACTATAATCCAAAACAAAACTATTTAACGCACAATATAGGGTATTTGTATCTATTTCAAGGTATATCAGTTGAAACTTTAATTTTAAAAAAATTACATATTTTTAATTATACCCTAGTTAAATATCTTATATAAGTATTTTAAGAATAACAATTAAAAGTCTAATACACCATTTTCAAAAAGAGTAATAAATAATGTGGGGATATAGTTGAAAAAAATAATTATAAAAATTATCAAATATCCAATATTTTGGATCAAGTATGATTATAAGAAGAACTCATATATTGGGATTCGGATAGAATATATTTGACACAAAGGGAATATTTCTTTTGTTGGTACATGTGATTTTTTTATTATTTAAAGATGGCTTATATTCTACACTACTGAAAGAGTATATATTATTTGCATATTTAATTTAACTAACTAGATTATATTGAGAGTTATTTATTAAAAAAAAAATCTTGCTACATATTTGGATTTCCCTTTTACAAACTTTTAAGTTAACAAATTAACTTCAATCGAAGTTTGCAAAACAAATCAGACAACTTGCACTAATTCAAATGATAAAAATGGGATTAGATATAGGTAGCCCTCCTATTTCCACATAACAAACAAAAATAAGTCTCACTCTTCTTGACTTATTTATGGTAATTTATATATATTTAATGTATACAATTGTTTTGATTATTTTTATTAATATTTTCAGAAGAACTACTTGTCACTTTGCTAGCTTCACATCATCATTTAGTTGAAATTAACCCCCCTCCAAAAAAAAAAAAACATATAACCTATCGTCCCACTCAACTAGAGTAAATTAGACTGAATTAATAATCTAACTTTACACTGACCATTAATAAAGTACTAACATTATCTCTATAAATATAGCACTACAGCTAAGTCTTGTTTGTTCTTCATACGAAGCCTTTGACTGTGATTGGCCTGTCGCAGATCCTGGAAGCTGTGAATTAATGACATTATGTAAAGCGTGCCACAAACTTAAGGTGGATACCATATAAGCAACTTCATTTTATATGGAAGTTGGTTCATTTATGCTCTACCATGTGGAGACATCCTTCGACACCTCATCTCAATGTGAATTCATATTGTATTTTTTTTTTTGCTCAAATTTAGAATCGTTGAATCATATTTTTAATAAATGTATTAATTGAACTTATATCATTCTGGTTTGATACTCTGTCAATTCAATTCTCGCAATTGGGGAGAATAGGATTTTGATGGAACCTTGTTGTTCAACACATAAAACTACAGAAATAGCAATAATAAATTAGCCCAACAGATGAAGGGAAATGCTTAGGTTTGATATTGATGATTCCAAAAGATTAAATCAGTGTTACAAAGACACTTCATTGATTCAGAACAAACCATATTCCCTACAACAACCAAAATATTCAAATGGAACAATAACACTGTAATGCTATTAATCATGCTCTCTAGTTTTTAAGAGCTAGTCTCTCTTCTCATTCTCAATACAAAATAAGACTTACCTCTTTCAAAGACACTAACAATTATTATAATCTCAAAAGTATCTTGCACAGTCTTTAATATTATTTTCTGTCAAGACAAACCTAAAATTCCCCCAAGCCAACACTGCGTCTGTATAGCTTTCTTCTTAAGAGTAAGAATAGGAAAGTCAACATTTAACCCCTCCTAAAGGTGCTGTGCCTTTTTCTTGTATTTTTCTATTTCTCTTCTTATAGGTTTGTAGCTTCTTATTTCTCCCCTTTGTTCGTGAAGCAAAAAGATTCCATGAGATTTCTAGCTGGATCATATCTACCTCCTCACATTTATATTCTGATAGCTTTGATGATTTTCTATTAAGTATCACGCTGCACCATTTGATTTGTACAAAAAGGAACACTGCTTTTTTTTCATGGTAAGATTCAATAGCCAAATGAATTTATTGAGGAATTTCATGATCACTGTCATTATGTTTTGGAGGTATGTCAATGGCCTCATACTCATATGGGTACCGATAATCACATCACCCGCATTGAACATACCAACATTTTTCTGTTTCACTTTAATGGCATATATATATATATATATATGTTTGAAGAAATTTAAATGTGGACCAAGTATATTCTGTCTTTGTCTCTTTACACTAAACTCAGTTCACATGCACAACTTTCTTCGGAAAAGATCTTTGACCATGACCACTGATCCAAGTTCTTTCTTTCAACTTGCTTTGGTTTAGAGTTGCTTTACGATGGATCAAGAATTTTTTGCTTGCCGATACCCTTCATACATCTAGAATCTCTATTCTTTGTCAACAAGAAAATTTTCCATTACCTTTATTCTAAATATCACTTAGCAGGCTCTATACAGGATGTTCATAAAATAGCAAATCATTTCTCTTTTGTAACCTTTAGTAATGCTCAAGAATAGTTCTTTCTTAAATTCCCCCCCTACCTTGACCCTTGATAAACTTTATGTATTATAACTTTTACATTTTAATTAATTGATCTTTTATTTATTAAAAAAAAAAAACTGGAGGTGGATATTGAGTTCCAATCACTTTGTGCAAATAGATCTTATTGTATCACCAAGTTTCAAGTAATATCAAAGTCATGTTCGTATATTCGATTCAACATATATAATTCGCAGTAGGTATGCACGCAGTAAGATGAATTGTTTATGTGATCAATTTTTTGTCTTGGCATTAATGCAAGATCCAACAAAAGATCAGAGTCAAATCTAAGCCAGAGTTACACTCTTACTAATAGTTATAATTTTTTATCTAATGGTAAGCATTACATCAAAAATCGAGTCCATTAACGAATTAACAATTCCAACACAATTTATTAAGTCAACAAGTATAGAATTCTATCCATGTACCAACACAAAGCAATGCCATAGGAAGCAGAGCAGGTAATTGACTTTTTTCTTTTTTCTTTTACCCATTATTATGATGTTACCCCGAGTGTTATGTTTCATCATCAGCTGAAAATCAACAATAAAACGGTCCTCAGGCCAAAAGCTCAAAACGCTAAAGAAAACTTGCTCTAATATTGCATAGTCATTAGCATGTAAAACATACTGTAAAATTTGTTCTTGAAATTGTTCAGACACAATGTAAATAGTAATAATTTTTGTATATACAAGCAAAAACTATGTAACAGCCCCCCACGGCTGGTGGAATATATAGCCTCAACTTTCAAAGTAGAGGTTTCTCTGGATTTTTTTTTTTTTACCATCTTCTGAATTTTGAATGAAGGCATGGAAATATGTTTTTATATAAATCTCAAGCTGCTGGCATAAGAAATGCATACATCAAGAGCAAACAATGGCAGCTTTTTTTCATGGATAAAAAACCTTTTTTTTTTTTACAAGAATTGAAATTAAGATATGTTATCATAGTGAAAAATCAATGGAACAAATTAATATTTACAAAGCAGATGATACATTTGAGTCGGCAAGTCTTACAATTTAAGATATGTATTAGGGTCATTAGCTGATAAAACAACCTGTGAAATCTGTTTTGGAAATTTTAGAGATACAATATGAATATATTATATAGAGGCAAAATATTAATTGCTAATAGTATTCCTTGCGGGATAGTTTGATGTGAAGTAAGGGTTCTATAGAAATGTCATAAAAAACATTTCACTCGTCTGGTGTATATGACTAACAATCTGCCGCATCAAGTATTTATATGATGGAGATAGAAGTTTTTTTCCGTTATATGATAGCATTTTTTCATGACAGGGAAAAAAAGGTAGCAGTGTTTTTATTTTTAAGTCTTGCATCTGTAATCATTAGCCAGTAAAACAACCTGTGAAATTTGTCGTTGAAATTTTAGAGACATGGTATAAATATGTACATTTAAACAAGCAGACTATTATTGCTAATTTTACTAGTATAATACCTGGAGGGATAGTGTGAGGAATATGAAGGGTTCTGTAGAAATGTTTCAATACTTCTGCCGGATTAGGTTCAAGTCTCCCCTTCTTCTCTCTTTCTGGGCAAGCATATTTCTTCTCAAATAATTTATCTTCTTATAATTTTCTTATCAGTCATTAAACTTGACATGATCTTAAATTCTTAATGGATTGCTTAGGGCAAACTATCTGCATTTTAGTAGAATTGGACACCAGAAGATTTATTGAATTTTCATGAGGCTAAAGTAGTACCATGCACATCAAATTGTTGTTATATTTATGGATAGAAACCTTGCCCTCGCATTGTGATGGACACTGGATATATTTTCTTACTTTAGAAACTGACATGTGAAAGATTTAAAACTCAATAATAAACAAAAGCTCAACATTTCTATTTCTATTTATCCTGCAGTAAGAATTGGGTTGGGGAGAGTTGCATCACTGATCAGTTGACACTGGTAAGACTAAAGCATGCAGCAGCATTCTTCAATTCATTCTCAGCAACATGTTCAGCGCATTTTGGCGTATCTTTAAGCGATTCTTCAGAACTGTAGGCAGATATGCACAGAATCAAATGAGATCATTACTTTGTTTCAGAATTTGTTTTATCACAATATGCAAAAGGCATCATTACATTAGTCAGATGTTTAAGAAAATTATCTTTATGTGTTTATACCTTGACTCGTAAGCCTCCTTAGAATAAACGTAAGATTGTCTATCATCAATAGTATCAAAAAACGGATGCATCTCATCATAATCTTCGGCTACTTCTCCTTGTTGAATGACTAGTGGCTGCTGTGACGCATCCAACTGAGACTGTTGTTGTATTGCCATGGAGCTGCTATTGTTATCCTCATATGGATGCTCAGCCCACAAATGATTTGGGACACTACCCTTGGTATCAATGTAAAGGGAATTATTGTAAGCCTCATTATTGCTATGCGAGAAAGAATGTTGCAGCTGCTGAGACGTGGGCAAAGACGCAGCCACTATATTGCTGTAATCTTGTGGATGAGGAATTTGATCAAACAGTTGGAGGCGATTAGAACAAGGCGCCATGCCCAACTCTAGTTGAGAATGAGAAGCCACATGATCCTCTGGTAGATGATCAAGATGATTCTGGAAATGCTGCCTGCAAATCTCAAGCTGCTGATGAACAACATGAAGCTCCTCTTCCATCTGCCATATCTGGTAACGGAGCCTGCAAATTTCCTCCCAGCAGCCATGAACAGGGTACTTATCCCTAATATTTGCCTGGCAAATGATGGAATCCATGGCCACTTTCTTCTGGGCAGGATCCAATTTCTTCAACGTCTTTTTAATATTGCTCACTCCAAATAGCTTGTGCACATTCTGAAACACCTTGGGTTGGTCTGCTGGGAAATAGGGAGCGAGGAGGCATTCAGACGTGCACTTTCTTCTCTGGTATTTGCAAGCTGCACAAGCCTGGGCTGTGCCACCCTTAACGGTCATATTTCCACCACATTCAAATGTGTCAATTTCAAATTCTCAATGAATCTCTCTGATTGATGAAGCAGCCCCAGAATAAAGAAAGCAGATATTTGGGTAAGATGGGAGGAAGAGGAAGGAAAAGGAGGGAGTAAGAAAGGAAGAATTTTGATGTGAAAGAGAAGCTGGTGGTAATATGCGGATCTGTTGGGTGTGGAAAAGACTCAGTAAAAGACCAAAAAGAAGAGGGAGAGCGAAATGCTTGGGGATAGTCCTATTCATGGCCGCTTTATACTGTGGCCTCTTTTTATGCAACGTGGTTACATCTCATTGCTATGGAAATCTTCTGACATGTTAGTGCCTGTTCCTTCCACTCGTGCAAAACTCGGCAACATTTTTCTTTCCAAGCTTTCTTTTTTTAAAAAACAAAATTTAAACCAATTATATTTTAATAACAGGTAAAACACACACACACACACACACAAATCCTGTCTCATCCACATAGAATAATCTGGGTTTGATTCATAGCCTGGGTTTGTTTTACTGTTACTTAAAATTACCAAATCAGCGAATATATCCAACACCAACAGTTATGCATGCATCTATCTACATGCAATAGTTCTTCCACACTACACGTCCCGGGCAACATATCATGAAAGAAATGCAACTGAGGGAAATTGAAGCATTCAATACCTACGATTTTATTTTTCTTTCATTTCGATTGTCATTTTGGATGAATCAAAGACCTTAAGAGGTTTCCATCTTTAGAACAAATGGAGTTCAAATGTGTGGTTACAAATGCATCAACTTTACGATGGGAAGCAGATGCATGGATGTGGACTAAAACAATTACAATACATGCATACCTACATGCATGTATGTATTTATGCATCCAGAACAGATATTTAACCTAACATTGAGTAAACCGGTTACAGGCCAGCCCGCAAGCTAAGCTTCGCAAGTTGACATTTTTGCAGGTTAGGTTGGGCCAACCCACTAGATAAAATGAGTTAAGAAACTCAATCCAATTCATTTTCTAATAAGCAAACTAACCTGCGGGCTAACCTGCAAAAATTTATTAAATTTTTTTAACAATTTAAAATTTATATAATATAAATATATTTATTTATTTCACATTTCAAAGCAAATTAGCAATTAAAGAACTTTTAAATAAATAAAATAAACATAGAATTCAACCAAAAAAATTTATTTTGTTAAATTTTTACTAGTAATCATCTTTTCGCCTAGGTGTGTTATTTTTCTCACTGAGAAAGAAAATTTGAATATAAAACTATATTATTTTTTTCAATGAATTCATATTTATGATTTTAATTAATAGATCTTATGATATTAACAAATAATATATATTTAAAATATTTCTATGAAAACTAGTAAATCATCAACTTACAAACTATAACAAAAATTTTATTTACAAATTGTAAAAATAATTTACACTATATTTCAAATGAAAAAAAAACATATTTGAAATTCATAAAGTATATATTTAAAAAATATTATCATTATTGTAAATTTATAAAAAGATATAATGTGATTTAAAAATAAAAATTATTTTAAAAAAATTATTTCAATTAACAAAAATTAATTATAAAAAAATTAATTAATACTCACTCTATTTTAAATTATAAAATATTTTTAGACGAAATCTTACATACCAATAAATCTCATTAAATACACTTAACATCCTTATATTTTTAAAATAAAAATATAAACTTTTCAAAATACTCATCATTTAATATATCAAAAAGAGAAAGAATGGAAATTAATTATAGGAGAAAAAGAATAGTATTGAAATTAGTACATTTAATGAAATATTAATCTATATAAAGTGTCTTATATTTTAAGATTAAAAAATTCCTTCAAAATTGTCCTATAATTTGGGATAGAGGTAGTAAAACTTAATAATGTTTAGATTATATTTTTTTGAAATTAATTTTGACAATTAAATATGTTTGGATAATTTTTCTAAATTAATTATAAAGTGAGAGAAAAATGAAAAATATTCAAATGTTAAGAATTAATTCTCAAATTAAGAAAAAAATAGTTTCTCTAAAATGAAATTTCACAAGCCAAATAGAGTTTCGTAAAATTAAGAGTGTTTAAATAAATATTTACTAGAAATGGGAATTCAAGTGAGCCCAACCTTTAAGGACTCAAACCTTAAAGCCTGGTTATTTAAAATTTAATATGATTTTAAGGCCAAGCCCTTATTTAAAGGGCTTAGGAATAGACCTGTAAGTTTATTTTCAAAAAAAATTTAATATTTTAATTTAAATAAAATATTTTAAAATTTAACATAAAATAAATTAAAATCTTACATAAAATTCAATAAATATTTAAAAGTTTAAATTTAAGATGAAGATTAAAATTTTTATTAATATAAATCTAAATCATTCTCTTCATCGTCTAAAAATAGAATATTAGATCCCTCATATACAAGTCTGCTTATTAAAGATGAAGATGGAGGTTCAATGTTAATTATCTTTGCAAATTTTTCTTCATCACCTACAATAAATATTAATTTAATTGTGTTATTATCAATCAAATATATATATTATATTCCTCATATATTGGGCATGAGCCATGAGGAAGAGATAAGAAACAAGAGGCATGAAGTTGGGTGGTTGACTGGCCGAGGGCATGAAGGAAAGAGGAGCAAGAGGCTATTGCTTAATTTGAGTTTTTTAATCTTTAGAAAGTCAAGTGAGTTTAGGATTTAGCAGGGTCCTTTCTTCAAACTCTAGCATTCCAAAAAAATTTAAAATAATTGATAATAAAATAATAAGGTTTGAATGACTGCTCAAACTCGAACCTTGTAAACCAAGCCTTCAAACTTGATTATTTAAAAAAAAGTAATTTTTAAAGTTTGAATCTTTATTTAAATAGAGCTTTTAAGTTTAACCTTTATTATTGACTTTAATTTTCACAAAATTAAAATTTTGACCCCAAAATTGATTCCTAATGAGAATCCAAAAAAAACCCACAATAGTGACAAATTTGGGCCAAGACCCCATTTTCTTCCTAAAAGGAACAATCATTTTTTAATTGTTAGTATAAAAACTTTAGCTCATAAGTTGGATTTCAAATGTTTACCTGATCAATATAGATGTCATAATTTAAAAAACACCTGCAAGAGTACCTATAAGTTCCCTATCAATAAAATATTTGTATAAATGAGATTCAAATCTGAATGTTGTGTAGGGTATGAATCACATCCTTAATTCCATACTAAATGGATCGCCTTAAAATGGATGATAAAAAGTAAAACTAACGTCAAATTTAAATATGTAAGGAAACCGCTCTTTATTCGGGGAGGGGGTCTGTCCATCCCTCGAAAGATTTAGCCCACCTTAACTGTGAGCAATAATAGTGTAGCCAATATTAGGCATAAAAGTGTAGTAAATGGGATATGAAGATAATGGGCAACATATAGTCATATGCCCCGTTATAATTAGTAAATTCGTTAGCACGAGAGGAGAGAGAGATGCCATTATTTTCATGCAACACAACAAAAATTTCTTGATCTAATAAAATAGGAAAGATTGTAACGTCTGAACAAATAAGAATTTGCCACATTATGAAAATATTGAATCAGAAAGATTTTCTTAAAAAAAAAAAACCTTGTATACTTAACCTTAATTATTTTACCTTAAATACTTAAGCTGTTTATTTTCAATTAAATTAAAACATATATCATTTATAAATTATATTTTCTATCACAAATTCTTATTAATACATTAAAATATACAATTTAATTGAATAGCAATATATTAAATACATAAAACTAAGTATTTAAATTTTGTCCTTTACTTTTTACTATCTAAAATTCATAAGCTTTCAAAACAATCTATTAACGAAATTGCCTCGAAATTTTATTGAACCAGCCCTTCCTATTCGATACAAAATTTCGTGATAAAATAATTTATATACCCCAAACACAACCTTTTTTACAAAACATCTCTAGTTCTCCGAATTCTCATATCATATATAGGCATACTCCCCGCGTGAACATTACGGACGAACTTAGATAAATGCAGACTAACTCCATACTCACTCGGCCAACAAAATTTATAAGCTTAAGGATCAGATGATAGTTTCTATTTCTAGAACAGGTACTACAGCAAATGCATCCTTTCCACATAAGAATGGACCAACCACTTACTAAGAGGCTCCCCACAACCCACAAAACACCCTGAATTTCCTTTTTCGATGAAGAATGGAAAGCTAAATATATGCAATAGTTCTTGCACTGCCTGTCTCACCAGAGAAGATCCAGTGACTCGGCTCCTGCGACCCCATCCGGTGACAATGTCAATCCGGCTAGGACTAGTCCCGTACGTCAGCATCTGTCGCCGAAACGAAGCAAGTGTCCTGGACAATGCTGTCACAGCAGTTCCATCAGACATGACATGGAGATTTATAAGCCAGTAACAAGAACTTTTCTCCTTGACAGCGTCTGGGTACACATTCTTCTGTGCAGCCACCTCCCAAATGGAACCAGCCTCCTCTTTAAGCCCGGACTTGTGAAGAAAATTCACCACTGCATCTACAAGTCCCCTTTTGCTCTCTCTATCCTCAGCATGCACCAGATCCAAGAATTTGCTAGCATGATCCCGTACATTTTGACCGTCAGGTCCTGCTGCTGGCATGGACAGTAAGAATGCATGCGCAGGATGGCCAGTAACTGCCAAAAGCTCACAACGAAACCCCATATCATATGATGAACGTGCTTCTGTGCAACAACTGAGGAGCAGGGTATATGTCTGTAAAGAGGGCCGTAGGCCGCGGGCAACCATGCTTTGCAGAAGATTATATGCATCTGGTAACCGATGCACCCTCAGGAATGCACTGAGAAGGGAATTACAAGTCGGTACATTTGGCTGCAAACCTGCATTCACCATCTCCTGATACCACGCCCAAGCCTTCTCAACATTACCAGCCTTTCCCCACAAATCTACTAAAAGACCATAAACAGGCTCATCTGGCACCCAATTTTTCCATTTCATCTCAGCAAAAATCACTTCAGCATCCTCTAGATATCCACAGTGGCCAAGCGCCTCCATGACTATGCTGTAAGTCACTTTATCAGGTTCATATCCTGCATTTTTCATGTCATGAAATAATTGTAATGCTATCTGATAGTTCCTAGCTTTAGCTTGCAAAGCAATCATTATATTGTAGGTTACCAGATTAGGAACACAACCCTGATCAACCATCTCACAAAATAGTCTATGGGCAGCAGTTAAATTGCCTGATTTCCCAAGGCAATTAATCATGACACTATAAGTAAAGGTGTCAGGTGAAAGACCAACTTGTTGCATCCTTTCATACATGGCCATGGCAACTTCAAGATATCCTGCTTTTGCATGGATATCAATAAGCGTGCAGTAAGTGACACGGTCAGGTTCACATTTCTCCTCCTGCATTTGATTGAACACATTGAGTGCTTCCTTCAAGCAGTTTGCACGACCATAGTTGTGTATCATTCGATTATAAGTTACAACATTGGGCTTGCATCCATCACTGACCATCTGTTCTAGTAATCTGTTTATCATGCCAAACTGTCTAGCTCGGCCTAGGATGCCAACCATAGTGGTATAAGTATGATCATCATGCTTGAACCCTGGTTGTCTCTTTAACCAATAAAAAAAGCCAAGAGCAACAGAGTAGTCTTGAAGTTGCTTCAGGATTTGGTTGGCTTGATATGCATCCAATGAACAATTTATGTTACATAGAGCCTTCTCTGTAGCAGGACTCCACTTTAGCTTCTGCAGTATATCTAAAACCACTTCTACAACACGTCCTGTGTATGCAAAATGCCGACTTGTTTGACCAATTCCAGCTGGCATTCTCAAATTCTCAGGGTGTCTGTTGAAACCTTTACTGATGGATTGTCCAGTCTGTGGATCTGACGTTTGTGTGTTGGAAACAGAACTTTTCACGAGTCGATTTGGAAGCATTCTTGTTCTCTGCGGTACATCTCCCTGGTCATGACTATATACAGCAGGTTTTGAAGCCACAGCTGATTTCCGTGTCCCTGAAGAAGGAAAACGCTTTATGCCTTTAGATAAATTTGATTTATCACCATGCCCCTTTGAACCATGATGATTACTTGTACGGCTTGACCCTAAATCAGAAGAAACAGAAGGCTTCGGATAAGCACTAGAAAAGGCCTCCCTTTTAATGTGTTTCCCATTTGAAGATCTGATGTCAGGTAGGCTCCTGTTGGTATCGACCATACAGTTTTTAGAGTTGTTTAATATTCCTGTCCCATGACTCCCATCCAATAAAGGAAGTCTATAATTAGCTATGTCAGAAAGAAAGTTAACAGCAGCAATGCCTGCCCTGAAAACCTGGTCAGCATTAAAAGACGATGTGTGTGCAGCATGTGCCTGAACACCATCAATGCCACATACATATGTTACGGAATCTGATTTCTGTGATGGGCTTGGAATGGAAACAGGTTTTTGTATGCAACCTGGTTGATGAACACCCTCAACACCATGAGAACCTAAACCATTTACTGAGTCTCCTGAAACCAATGTTCTTCCTACTCCAGACACCGTTTTGGGTACCAAGGCGGATGGCTTCTGTGCAAGTAAACCTTCATTTTTTGTCTGCTGTCTTCTTGACACGAATGTTTCATCCTCTGAGCAGGTGCTAGTACTTCCATCAGCAGCACTGCAACGTGAACCACCTATAAGAAAACTCCGAGCACCACTTGAAAGGGTGCTGATCTGCTTTGCCCGCAACATACTCTGCAAATGAAGTTGAATAGCTCGTAGTTATGAAACAAACTGAAAATGAAGTCAGCAATTCAGCAAGCCAACAACTATAGCATAAGCAGAAAGAGGAAAATTTATCATAAACAGAAGCAAGGAAACAACATATTAACCACTTCCAAGTGCCACTTGCCTACCACTAAAATTTTGAACCTGAATTCTTTCCATTAGACAGTTGTAGTTGTATATAAGGACAAAGTACAGAATGTAGGCACAAACACCGCCTGAGGCCTGGCCAACCTAATACAAACTGTTAGAATCTGTAAATTATATTTACACTTACTGTACAAACAAAACCAGCTGCATTAAAGTAGAAACTAAGGATATGGTTGGTTGAAGTGAATATAGGGTATTCATACAATGTCCACGTTTGACTCTCCATTTTCAACATACTCATTTTCACTCCGTCAAATCATGCCCTGTATACAACCAAAATAATAAGCAGATTTAAGGACAGTGGTGTCACAGTCCCATATTTCAAACACAAGGACGAGCAACAACGGAGCAGAAAGGCCATTTGGCAATGGTTATAATCATTTCAGTCGCAAACCAGTTATTTAATAGCACTTGTAAGGGAATAGTTTCCTAGGCTTTAGGTTCGGCTAATTCAAACCCAGTGCAAAACAAACACACTCTGTTTCACGGCTTCATAGCTCCTCTCCCCTGCAGGGTCCCTTTGATTCGCTTTGCTCACTGTCCTTTATAGTCCAAACTAGATCTAGGAAACTAGTACTTACCGTCTGTTAGTGTTGACAGACAGATTATTATGCCTGGTCCCAGAATTTTATCGTTAGAAACAAGAGCGCGAAAATAAAAAGTAAAAACAGAGAGAAAAACATAGCGACCAAAATAGAAAGCAAGAAAAATTCCAAGAAGCACGACCTATTTAGCATTTACCGTCTAGAGCACCTAAATTACAAAAATATCATAGAATTGCTAGAGTCCCGTATGATATGAAAATTCTTTGACAGCCAAAGAACCAATAAACTGTCGACTAACCCACCAAAGCAATGTAGCTGCTAAAGTAAGAAATGACCAGTAAACATGAAAAGCATTGAGAGAGTTACCTAAATGGGTGATCAGCAGGTTTCTGGGAATATAGCCGAGCAGACAGCGCTAGCAGTGAGAAAGGCGGGGGAGAGAGAGGAAGAAAGTGGAAAGGTTGGACGGCGAAAGTCCGCCGTCGAGAATGTGAGGGTTTCTCCAAGCAACTGGGGAACGCGGCTGTGAGGTGAGAGGTGAGGTGAGCCCTGAGATCACTGGCCTCCGCTTTCAACATTCATTTTTGTAATCAATGATACGTCGTTTTTCTTCTGTACACGTGGCAACTCCTCATGACTCGCACGTGACTTCCACGAAGATCTCGTTGGAACCAATTCCTCCTCTTGTTTTGCCCCTTTGCAGTTTGCAGCCAGCCAGACCGCCACGCGTAGACACACATGTTCACAAACACATTTGTTTTCCTTTTTTTTTTTTTCCTTTGCTTTTCTTTTCTTTCTTTTTTTTTTTTTACCGAAACAAAATAAACTATTTATGATGGGTAGTATTTCAAATTTGGGGGGACTAAAACTGGGCGCATAGTTAATACGCTTTTGTTGAGGCGTGAATTGGAAAAGGGGGGAGGATATTTATATTTGAAGCAGAATAATGGCTATATATTTTTGGAAAAGAAATGAAAGGCATAATTATGAGTGTAACTATTCAGAGAATTATCTGGTCAAAATAAACTATTCAGAGATTTATGATTAGAAATCGTCATCTAAAAACGACGCCTTAGGTTTAGGAGTACCTGTGAGTGTGAACCAGAAAAATCAGCTTGGCTTGTTGCTCAAGGAAAGGCGCTTTGTTTTTTTCTTCACTTCATATTTTTCTTATTATTTTATTTATTCTGCAACCCTGGTCTTTTAAAATAATAGAATATATACACGAACATGAATCTGTAAAACAAAAACAATAAACATCTTCACCTTTTTTTTCGTCTGCAAAATATCCTTGCCTTATTTGGGAATGGAAATCAGTATTATTTAAAGAGCAAAATGAGTTGCTATATCTGAAATATAGCATTAAACCTTTATTTGAGTAAATAATATATATGACGCAAATGCTGCCAGAAAAAATCCCGGTAGTTGCTCCCCCAATTGATGGGGACTATTTTTCAGTGAAATTTACAATAGGATTAGAAGTATAATTTTTGTTCCCTAATTTATTTTTCATGTCAGCCATTTCGAAATTTATCCACGAAAGTTGACCTTTCTTTGAAAAATAAAAACTTTTCTTTGGTGGGACTAAGTTTCTCCACTGCAACAAAAACCTCATAAAATAATAGAAGATAAATGGTAACTTTACTCTATATATTATGAGGATTGGAAATCGAGTTCCTAACCATTTGTGTCATTGTGACAAAAGATACTGTTAAAAGACCATATCACATAATCTCGGCCATTGATTCAAAAGATTGCATAAAAAATTTAAAAATATGTTCAGCCAAAAAAATAAATATATTATTTCAAGTCAAATCATTAAATTAGAAATGTGATGGCTAATAAAGGAAGAAGATGGTCACGGTATAGTGCGGGCCACATTCTAATGGGCCCTAGCAATATTTCTAATAGGCCATTGTTATGGCCCAGAGAAACAATATAGCCCACACTAGGATGATTTTAGAAAAAAGAAATGGCCGATGTGGAGGCTGACAGGCTCTTTCCAGGAGATTTTAGAAACAGGCATAGAATAATGGCCTGTCACCCCAAAAAACGAATGACTTTCGGACAAATATTGCTTCTTTAGTTTTCTTATTTTTTATTTTTTTTTTCCTCGGTGTGTGTCTGTGCGGGCGCATATTGAATAATGAATATCACTGCATGGAGTTTGTCGTATAAATGTTATTTAATATATGATTTAATTGTTGGACCTACTTTATTGGAAATAAGAAAGTTATTATTATTAATACCACGGGAACCTGTTTCTCCATCGTTGGGATATGACTATTTCTCCATAATTATGTTGATGAATTTGAAAATTTGTTCTTGCATTGGGTTTGTTCCATTCCATCATGTCAAATAAAGTTAACGTTGATTTTTATTTAGTCTAAAATATATATTTAATTTTTTTAATTTTATGCTATTTTTTTAATCCCTTAATAAAGTATCTTTTTAATTCTTTTGTCCTAATACTTTTAATTTTATTTTAATAAATTTATACATTAAATTTTAAATATTAGCAAAACATTTTTAAATATTAATATATTAAATTTATTTATTTATTAAATAATAATGATTTACACAAAAAATAATCATTTGAAACTAATAATGTTAGGATTAAAGGATTAAAAAATATTTTATAAAATTAAGAAATTTAATTAAAAATTTATATAAAGTTTGATGATTAAAAATATCTTTTAACCTTTTTATTTATTTACTACTTTCCATTTTTTAAATAAAATATTAATAGAAGATGTTTCACAAAAACAAAGGCTTATCCTAATTATAAGATGTCAAGCGAAAAGATGAAATGATCTTCCAAATAAATTATTTAACTCAAGAAAAAATTTCAATAAATAACAATGTATGATTGGAAAGTTAAGAAATTTTTTAACAATTAATATGCAATATCTCAAGTACTTTAAATTGGACCAGTGAGTTTCACTAGCATTCCAATTATAGTAATTATTAGATTTTATTAACACTAAAATTATTAAGATATTTTTTTTCAACAAAAATTTAAAACAATCCTAATAATGATCATGACATCTCTCATATACACAGTCTAGTGCAAAATTTTGAAATCTGACACTTTTTAGATACTACATGACAAAATTTCTTACCATTAGTCGATTAAATCAAGGATTTTTAACGTATCACGTTGGATACTCCTTGAGTAATTGAATCTATGCGACTTCCTACATAAAAATACCTGTTCAAGTGGGGCCTTGCTTTTCGTTGCAAAGCAACAATGGAACACAATGATGGCGGGAACATGAGGCTTTCGCGGTGGGTGAGTGATCCATAATAATAATAATAATAATAATAATAATAATAATAATAAAGGCGTAACTATAAAGGCAATGCAAATATATGAATCACTCCATAAATATTACAGAAAGATGCTCCACCGCCCCCTCGAATTAGGCTTTTCAATCATTATTCTGGCTTCCTTTTTGGCCATACCAAACTAACATTAACAATCGCATTTTAAAAGCTTGTAACTTGCTTGTTGAATTTCAGACAAGTGATCTCCATTTAACAATTTTTCATACAAATCAGAAAGTCGTCAGCAATAATTTCTGGAACCGCAACTTGCGATTCCTATAATATTGGGGGAAAAAAGTATTATATATTGTGATAACTTGCACCTAATGAAACACATTTCCAGCCAAACTTGCTTAATTATTAATTATTAATTATTGTCTTTATTTTAATGAGCCCATGATTGCTGTGGACATTATGCATGGCCAAGCCAAATCTGAAAATCATCGAAGAAAGTGAAATTACTGCGTGTTTAATTCCACATTTAAAAATTTCACGGTTTTATTAATTCTCAATGTAAAACTAATTAAACATATATACGCTAAATCAAGAGTACGATATCCATGATTATCCCTCGTGTTTGGCAAGAGAGTGGCCCAATGATGTCTAGCGCTGTGATATCTGTTGCTTTTAATTTACCCAAACGTGGGAGCCCCCACTTTAATTATTAATTAATATTCTTAAAACAAATTTCGGTTGCATTCATTTTTTGTTTTAATTTCTGTACATTTTAAAAAATAGTTTGGACTTGGTCAAAAGTGTATAACGAGGAATTAGATGCTCTGGTTGTGAAAGGCATGCAGAATTGCAGATAGTGCCGCAGTGGTTTAAATCCATGCAAACACTAAAAAATAAAAAATAGAAAATAAAAGGCCAACGCCCTGAATATTGCATACATCAATGATGATCAAGAGAAAAGGGCGTGCAATTTTTTTTTTTTTTTGCTAAACTGATTGTTTTTATTGCACAAAGTAAAGAGGTCTAAATTTTAATCATCGCTCATGCTGATCTGCTTTATCAGCTAGCTGTTAGATTCATATATGTTCATCGTATAAATTGATGCCTAGCCAAAATGGGGTTGAATTCAACAAATCAAGATTTGAATTTCCTCTAAACAAAAATATCTATAATAAATATTAGGTTGTGTTTTGAATAGAATTACTTTTAATAGGATAACATAGTTGGCTAATAAAAAATTGATGCTCTTCTTGAATTTTAACATGATTTAAATTTATTTTATTTTATGTCAAGCTGGATTTCGTTCAATTTATCCATGATTTTGATATACGCATATATTTATAATTAACAATTCTAGAATAATAATTGAAAAGGACTTGACAAGTTTAAGTATAAGACGACTAAATTGTCCTTTTTAAAAAAATTGAGGTGAAATGTAGGACAAAGAGACAAGACAAAAATACTTTAATAAAATGTTTAGATTAATAAAAATTTAATTTAAAATCAAATTTTTTATTTAGATATATTAAAATTTATAAATTTAAATTTAATTTAAATCTAAATCTATTTTAAATTATAATTTTTTTATAATTTTAAACTCTCTCTATATCTTAATTATTTGCAATTCTTATTATGAATACTTCAAACATTTTATTCTTTTTGCCTTTTTACTATTGATATATACATATAATTTTCATATTTTTCCATCTCTTGTCAATTAAAAAATAAAAATAATCTTACTGTTTTTAATTTTTTAATTTTTTATTTTAAATCTTAATTCACATATCTTTTTTTATTAGAAAAATTTCAAATTATCTACACATATGATTTTAAATATATGAATTTTAAATGTAAAATTTTGAAATACAAAATTTTAAATTTAAAATCAAAATCCATCAAGTTAAAAGCTACCTAAAAAAATTGCATCAATTCTATTGTCTTTATAAAAGAATTCAATTCAAAAAAAAAATTCTTAAACTTGGATTCTTAAAAATCACAACTCAAATCTACCAAACAAGCCTCGTGAAAGAATCCATTTTCATTTTTGATTCTTTCTTCAAAACTCTTGTATGCCGAACAGGATCATGTGTTGCTGTTAATTCTTATCCTTTCAGTTCTCAAATAAGTACTTAAGATTTTTTTTAATATTATAAAAAAATCACTCCCCATTGTTGCAGTCAATTTATATTATAAAAATGTATAATTATTTGGTACGAATTGGCACAAGTTAGCGTCACTCCCTATCACTCTCATGTCAATTTGGAAG